CTGAGGCCACGCCCAGGCTTGGGCCTCAGCCTAGACCAATGATGTCAGAACCTCCACGGGTGGGGCCCAGGCTTGGGCATGGTCTCCAAGCCCTCCCGGTGATTCCAACGTGCAGCCAGAGGGAGGAGGAGGTATGATAGGAAGAGAACAGTGTTGCAGAGGGGACAGCAATGTGCAAAGGCCCCAGACCCAAAGGGCATTTGAGAAAGGGCAGTATCTCTCCGCCCTGAGGCCGCCTCTCTAATAAGCCCTTGGATAGGATGACGCCAGAGCCTCTGGTTCTGGGCATGTGAGCCTATGTCCACCTGCTCGACTTTCTGATTTCAATATGCAGGGGGAGCAACTTGAAAGTGAAGTAAGAAGGCATTTTTAAGGGACAATAAATAGCAATTAAAAAGCGTGGCCAAAGCTACCTATGCCAGAGCTTGCTCCTTTTTGCTAGTTTCAAAGCAGCAGATGGCTCACAGGATGGCTTTTAAAAATATACATGCTAACCTCCTTAGCTTGGTTCTTAAGAAGCCACCCATTTCTGGAGCGTAACATTAGGATATAAAATCTCGCTGCGTGTGGGCAGTGGGAGGGAGCATGTTCCTCTCTGTGTATCATCCCTGGGCTGAGGTCGGCCTTGTGATTTGCCACCTGTGTGCTTTGTGATACCCCCCCCTCCCCACCCCCGTTGCTTCCTGGAATCAGGAGACAGTACAAGGCACTGCACTGCGGTGTTTCCTGGAGCCAGGGGTGCAGAGGCCAGCAGCTCCTGTGATGATTTTATGTGACACGGCCATTCTTTCAACAGCCCTGAGTCATATGGGGAGAAAGTGAACACCTTATTCCCTTCAAATCATTCTGACTGGGGCAAGGAGAGTCTCAGTTAGGGGCTACAGTGTCTTTCACACATAATACTTTGAAAACTTTCTTTTTCACGAAGAGATCGGGTCCTGGCAAGCAATAGCCTCTGGCTGGAGCTCAAGACCTCTGCTGTTTCCACTGTTTTCTTCTCATGTGTGTCTTCTATTTGTGGCAAGCAATGCCAGCTTTCAATTGGGTGGTGAAATGTTTCTTTCCAAATGAGTTAAGAGTGAGTTGATTGAAACAACAAAAAAATGATTTTGTAAATTTCAGAGACAGAAGTAGATTAGAGATGACTAGAAATTGGGGCGGGGTTGGGGGGAAGGACTAATGAGAAATTACTGCTTAACGGGTACAGAGTTTAGGTTTAGAAAACCTAAACTCTCTTGAGTTTAAGTTTTGGAAATAGATGAAGGTAGTGGTTACACAGCATTGTGAATGTAATTAATTCCACGCAAATGTTTTAAAATACTTAAAATGTATATATATTTTACCACAATAAAAAAATGATTTTGTAAATATTAAATAGATGTGATATGAAAAATGGTAAAAACCATGGCAGAGATACAGAAATGAATGCAGCTGGGGAAATGCTGGAGGGATCGCGGATCCCATCTCTGGAGTCAGGCTAACCTGGGCTCAAACGTTGGCTCCCCTGCTCACTGGCTGGGAGTATGGCTGGACCGCTGCATAGAGGAACCTGGCAGTGAGGGTGGGAGAAGGCATCCTGCAGAACCCCAAGAGGAGTCAGTACGACCTAACTGGGACTCTTTCCAGGAGTTAGGCCTGCTGGGGAGAGCAGCAGAGTCACTACCCCTTAGCAGTTACAAATATGGGTTTGGAGACAGACTAGTGCAGGTTTCAATCTCAGCTCTGCTACTCTGGGTTGTGTGACCTTAGGCACATTTCTTAACTCTCTGAGCCTCAGTTTTTTCATCTATAAAATGAGGCTAATATGAGAACCTCTCCCACAGGTTGTTTTAATCATTAAGTGAGGTAAAGGAAAATAAAATGCTTAGCAAGGTACCTGGCACATAGCATGCATTTAGTAAATGTGAGCCATCAAAATTGAATTGAATTGAATTTGGGTTCATTTAAAGTAATTAAGTCATGAAGTCAGTGAGTTCTGGAGCCAGAAGCCTCTGTGCCCTCCTTAAGTCAAGCACAGAGCCTTGGCAGCATCACTCTAATTGAGGATAATGTCTGGCCCAGTGGTCATTTTTAGTGTAAAAGGGAACTGTTCAACATCAGGGCATTGGGTAAGCGAATGGTGATGAATCCCTGCCATAGACTATTAGGCAAATGTTTAGAATGATGTTGTCAAAGAATATTTAATGTCATGGAGAAATGTTTAGATATACAAATAGGGGAAAAGGCAGTATGCAAAATAGTATGTACAAATCCAGCCATGAAAAGGCATAAAGTACTAATACAGGCTACAAAATAGCTGAACCTTGAGAATACTGTGCTATAGGAGAGAATCCAGTCATAAAAGACCTCATGTTGTATGATTCCATTTATAATCGATGTCCAGAATGGGCAAATCTTTTGAGGTAGAAAGTAGATTAGTGGTTGCCTGGGCCTGGTGAAGGGGGTACTAGGAGATGATGGCTAAGGGGTGTGGGGTTTCTTTTTGGGGTGATGAAAATGTTCTAAAACTGACTGTGGTGATGGACCTACAACTCTGAATATACCAAAGGCCACTGAATTGAATGCTTTAAATGGGAGAATTATATGGTATGTAAAGTATCTCTCAATATAGCTGATAAAAATTATGTGCAGTATGATTAAAATTAAGATACATAAATTAAAATACATATATACATACACATTTAGAGAGAGTGAGAGAGGGAGAGATGAGGTGGTACAAATATATCCACAATGATCATTTGGGGTGGTGGGTTTATGAGGATTTTTTTTTTCCTTTTTAGTTATCTATATTTTCTAAAGTTTTACTATGAATGTGTACCACTTTTGGAAAAATAATGAAAGATATTTTCTATTTTTCTTTAAGAACAAATCATTTTGGATTTCAGTGTCAATCAAATAAATGCCAAAGCAACTCTACCTGGGCTCACGTCTCTCTAGAAATAAGACAGACCTTCTCTATCGCCGTTACCTTGTCCACATGCAGGGGCACAGCAAACCTTCTGAGGGTGGGGACCGAGGTGAGCGTGGAATTCTCCTGGAAGTCCTGGTTCAGATTGGCCATGTAGAAGAGCTGGTAAATGCTGTTGTCTTCGTAGGCCACGATGTCAAACACGATGCAGCCATCCTCTTCGTAGGCATTGACGTGATGGAAGACCAACATCGGGTCCGTGTAAAACTTGATCGGCACAGGTTTTCTGGTTCTTTGGTCAACGATGTGAATGTAAGTCTGAAAGAAGATGCATACCTGGCACTCAGCTCTTTCTCTGAGGGCCCGACACGGTAGCATCTGGGGACTGGACAAGACCCAGCCCTACCAGGCATAGCTCATGACTGTGGAGTGTCCCTTCCCCATTCTGAGTCCTTTGTCCACTCAGAAGTGCCAGACAGGCAAAAGCACTCACTAAATGGGAACTGTTTATTGTTGCACTTCCTTGGAGAGGAGGGAAACTCTGCAGGAGGACAGTGTTTGGGGAGGATACTGAGGTTGCCCTGTCCCCTCATTCCACTGACCGGGACTCTGGTGGGTGGTGACATGCCAGCTCCCTGGCAATGAGAAGGTTGGGGAGAGCCTGCCAGGTGCCAGACTCCACAACTGGAGCCCCTAAAATCTTACCGCCCCACCGCCCTTCTGGGTCCCGTCTCTTGAACTCCACTGCAGAGGCTACTTCCCACTTTTTCCCGTTTGCCAAGAGGCACTTGTCATAGCAGCCCCACCTGTCCTGGAGGGCTGCAGGTGGAGCCACCCTGGTTCTAGCTAAGGAGCCCACAAGGGAGCAGCAGCTCACTAGGCCTCTGGATGCACCTTGGGAGTTATGAGGCTGGTATCACTCTGAGTGCTAATTAGCCATATCTGCAGTCTGAGTTGCCTAATCCAAAGGAGGGGAAAGTTTTCTTTCCTCTTGCAGTTCTGGCCTAACCACCCTCTTCTGAAAGGGGGGACGGACTACTCCAGGCTGTTCCTACCACTGCCTCTGATCTTGTTTGCCTCTTTCTCCCCTTCCCCAGAATCAAGCTGCAGATGCTAAGAGGGGTACAGAGGAGGAAGG